TTTATATATATATATATATATATATATATATATATATATATATATATATATATATATATATATATATATATATATATATATATATATATATATATATCAGTTTCATGTTATTCTATCTTTTAAAAACCAGACAAGATAGATTTTAGATGTGACATGACAAAATATTAAAACAGTTTCCAAGCACTGTGCACAACTCCCCTCATTAATATAGAACCAAATTAGAGCAGCATATGTATAATGCACGCCAGTGGGAAGCAGAAACCACTGCTGTATCGCCTTCCGCTGCTCATCATTTAGTCTTTTTGAACGTAATGATAAATCTTAAGCCAAAAAACAAGTCTGCGTCCAAGAATCTATTCTCATTCCTCTTTTTTTTTTTTCTGCTTGATTTCATGGCAGGAATAAACTGGTCTTCAAAAAGAAAGTTCTTACTTGTTTTGCTTTCACTGGCACCGCTGTGGTCACACGTTGCGGTGCTGCGGCTATCACTGTTGCATTGAGCTTTTATTTGTGAAACCTCCACGCTCCCTGCATGCGTCAGCTTGTCATGGACTGGAAATAAATGTAAGCAGGGGTTGGCTGTGGGCCCCTCGTAACCCTCCGCTGGATGAAGAGGATATAATTAACTGATGTAATGATGGAAGTGGCTGCCAGACTGCAACTTTGCCACTAAATCAGCTGTGGGGAAAGTAATTTAAAAATATGACCATAGCTGATTTTATTTTTAAAGGCATTTTTGTTCTTGCAATGTGCTGGTTTCCAGTGGAAAATGTATTTACAAGAGGTTTCACTTTTCTTATTTCAGTCCGCTGAAGTTTATTGTACAACAAACAGGACCAACGCAAACCAGCTGCCGACCGCCTGCAGGATTCTCAAACAGCTCAAAGCTAAAACTGTCTGCAAAATTTCATTTTCAATGCTGATTAGACGACCCGTTTTTGATAGTTTGAGTTGTTCCTGAGTTCTGACGATGTGCCCAATTTGATTGGCTTGTACAATAATTTTAGTTGTACTGGACTAAATCTAAAAAAAAAAAAAAGTGGTTTTAATGTATTGCAATGAACTGATAAGTACTGCTTAATTACTAACAGATGCAAAGATGGCATTTGCTGGAAATTGGCACAAAGAAGTAATTTGAAAATTGTATTTATTTTTAATCATTTGAATTAAACAGAACTGAACCGAAGATGGGCTGGATATGTTGCAGTTCTTATCACTGTTGCTCCACAGCAAGGTGCTGGTTTCAAATCTTGCCTAGGCCTTTGGGTATTTCACATGGTCTTTCCATGCATTTGTAGGTTCTCTCCAGTCACTCCGGCTTCCTCTCACAATGCAACGATGTGCATTTGGATAATTGACCTGTTTAAACTCCCCACAGGTGTGTATTTTTATGCATAGCCAGTTGTCCTGTGTCTCTGTGTTGGCCTGTGATGGACTAAGAGTAAAGCTTTCCTCTCACCCAGTGACTGCTGGAGATCAGCCCCAGGCCCCTGCCATCCTGCAAAGATAATTGGGTGTAAATAAGTCTCCCTAAATCTGTTTAATACATCAAATGAATCATATTGACTTTAAGGCAACATTAGTTTTAGTTTTTTTCTAGTATTACTCAAAGAAAGCATGTAAAACCAGAACAGAGGTGAGCCTTGTCCCGAAACCTAAATGAATTATTCTAAGGACAGAATTTTTTCAGTGCCAGAGGTGAAATCAAAATAATGCTAAAAATAAGAAAGAACAGATTCTATAGCTATTGAGCACCTGGTTGAAATCTTTGAATAACCTAATAAAGACCAGATCACTAACCCTGTAGAAGATGGACTTTATTTTTGCCATTGCTGTAGATCACAAAAGCAGATCCTTGTCTATTCAGTTTTGTAGTGAAGCTTATTTGTGTATTTTCTTCAGTGAGCTGCATTGGTGAGAAACAAGATTATTAAGTGTATGTGCAGCACAGAACATGATCGGATTTTCCCAACAAAGAGAAGTCCACTGCATTTCCTGAGAGGAGATAACAGAAACTCCCCCAAGGACATTTCTTCCATTGCAGCCGTCGCTTGGATACTTCTGGGTCACTTCAATCAAAAAAAAAAAAAAAAAAAGGAACAGAGTTTAGTCAAACCCATTTCAGCATACATCAGATATACTGTAACATTTCAATTATGTTGCAAGGCTGTGGGATTTCTGGATCAACATCATGGGCAATTTACTGTCTGACTTCTGCTCTGCAGTTTTTTTTCCCAGCTCAGGGGAGCCTCTGAACCAAGACGCTCATTGGAAATAAAAATAAGGTTGCAGGTATAGCTGGTTGCCATTCCATTCAGGAAACATTTACGAGCTTAAAACTTGATTCTTGTCAGGCTGAATTTGAGACAATGAATGCTAATGAGATTAAAGACTTGAGTAGCTTTATTCTGAAGTAAACGCTTGAAAGTAAAACGTTCCCCAAACCTATTCGGGGAGGTTTGCAGTTGCGTTTGAAATTTTTACTTACAAAGATACACATCAGTCTCCCACTCCTTCATTTCCATGTTTAGAAAGCCACATTGTATTCCAAGCAGCTGATTCAGTGAAGCCATTCATGTCAATGCATTTGTCAAAAACCTTTGAATTTTAAGGAGTTGTTGAGATATACAGTAAACTGAGTAAGACCTGATTTTTTGTTTTGTTTTACATTAACCTTTTTTTATACATCCATTTCCTCTACCTCCTTTGTTCTTAGAAGAGCTGAAGAGGATGGTGGAGTGTATCTCAGCAGTGAACACATTAGAGGAACAGTAAACACCATAGAAAGGTTAGAAAATGTAGAAGTGGGGGGACAAAATGATCAGGAAATGAACAGGCACCTCACACAAACAATCCCAACTAAGGAACTTAACTGTGGATGTTTTTCAAACGGTGAAACACTTTAAAATGTAGCAACCATTAAAATAAAGATCAATGCAACACCAAGTGGTTCAGCAGCAAGCATTTTTCTAAATATTTATTAAGACTGAATAGACTTCTGTGAATCTTGCACACTGTTGTTGGTCGTAGCAAGCAATAAAAAGTTCCCGATATTCAAATATTAAAAATTAATACAAAGACATGCCAGTGGTTTAAAGACAGGAGTAGGCTATCCTTTAAGTTAAAATATCTACTGTCAATTCAGACTAATGCTTTCACATAAAATCCTGTCAGGCCACACCATCAACTCTCCACAGTGCACAGCTTTCCCTCCGTGGAGCTAATTAGGACTCAACACAACACTTCCTGCACATTATTTCCCCTCCCAGGTGTGAGCTATTCCAAATAAAGTCCACGAGACAAATGTGCTTAGGGTAATGGCAGTCAGAAAATTTCCAACCAGCCACCATGCCTCATGCACATTTATTATCGAGACTATACATGAAGACGGGCTGCGGTTTGAAAGCTTGATTGTTTGTTTGTATGTTTGTTTTGGAGATGGTGGCTTTTATCTTCATGTCACCCTGTTAATAAACTGACAAGGTGTAATGTTTCAGATTAGATTCAGGTCTGTGTGCAGAGCTGCTCCTGCTGCTTAACACTTTGAGTATGGACGGCAACAACTCCGCTGTCACAGAGCTTGACGCTGCAAGCAGCACTGAGACACGATGATTGCTCAGAAATGATCTTTCCCTCTCCATCTTGGCGAGCTCAAGTGGAGTGTCTTGACCTTACTGTCCTCCAGTAAATGAACAACCTGTTATAGCTTAGAGGTCTGTGTGACACATGAGAGAAAGATCAGCAAACTGCTGAAAGCCCCTTCTTATAGCTGCACTTTTGATAAAAATTGAATTTCTAATACATACTCACAACACATTTAGAGTTTTTTTTTTTTTTCTTAAATAATATTGTGAATGAATTAGGTCTTAGTGTTTTCAATTGTTCAATGCAGACAAAGGTTGGCAAATTTGTACTTTTTTGTGAAATTGAAAACATATTAATGCTGATTGATTGTTTTTATTTGTTTCATTTATTTATTTAAAATAAGTTCTGTGTTTTCCAACAGGATATTCAGCTAGATGTTAATCTGTAAAACGGTCCATTGAAATGCTGTTTGGTGATTGTGACCAACATGAAACCATATATTTGCATACTGTCAAGAGATACGGTGAATTTCCAGATATTTTGGACTCGTTGTGGCTGAGAAACGTTGTGTGGCGTAGCTCTCCTCTCCTTAGTGCTCAGACGTCCTGCAGTACATTGTGAACAGACTGAAAAAATAAAACATGTTATTTTACGATGTCGGACACAAAGTAATAAATACGTTGGAGGAATTTAGAAAAGATGAACAAACATTTCATGTGTAAAATATACTAACGGGTTTACACTAAAGTTTTCCTGTATTATACAAGTTATGATACAAATTAGTAATGCCATAACACATTTCGATGTCTATAACATTAACTATGATATTAAGCCTCAAAAATAAATGATTACATCCCCCTTACTTAATTAACAAATGTAATCTTTCAGAACCTTTAGATTCCCCGCCCCGGGGAATCTTTGGGCCTGAATGCATCACAGAGGAAGAGACAGAGGAAACATCTGCACGACATCTACATGACGCACTTTGAAACACCAATCTTTTATAAACCGTTGCAAAGAATATTAGTTCAAGCATTACTTTCTGTTATCTAATTGTTCATAGGACAGGGCTTCATCAGCGCCAGCTGTTAAAGCCCAACCACAAACAGTAGCAACAGATTATCAACCTGTTTCCCATTGTGAAAATATTTCACTTCATCAAATACTCAAAGCAAATGAATATATTAAACGTTTCAAATCTATTAAAGATCTTCATTAGATCCACTTATGATCCTGATTGTGTTCAGGTCTACGCAGCTGTCACTGACGCTGAGTCGAGCGATGTGAAAGGCTGCGTCGCTGACACAGTGGCGCTAACGGGTGGGGTTGGGCTCACCATAAGGTGAGCCAATCATTCTTGGTGGTAGGTAGGTGATGTAGCAGCGCTGCAGGTTCTGCAGCACATATAAAGTTGAGATCCATCAGTCATTTCCAGTTTCTTAAAGCCCCGACCAGACCGTATTAGATTTTAAACAAAATATTACAAAATGCGGCCGTTCCAGCGTAGAAAAACTGACTGTAGCGTAGTTTTAATTAGCAGATTAAACAGTTTCTGTGTGACTGAGGCTAAGAAGTATAGTAAATGTCTTTCAAATCGAAGGTCGTGGGTTTGATCCCAGCCTCCTAATGTCAAATGGTGATGTGCCTCTGGGCAAGGCACCCACTGATGTTAGGAGGATGATGTTTCGTGTAGTTTTCCTCAACTTCCTTAGAGAGTAGGAAATTAGGAGTACTTTGTCGTGTTTGTTGCACTTGTGTTGAACGTGGCTGGAGATAAAATTGGCCTGTAATTTTAATAACTGATAGCAGAAGAATAGTGTAAGAGGAGGTGTATTCCCAATACACCTATAACAACAAAGATTAGTCTCATAAGAGTAGAATTTTAACTGTTTTATAAGTCTATCAGATATTCAAATATTTAATAATAACAATTCCCTTTGGATTTTATTCATCCATGAATATACTGGTACAAATAAGTGTGCTTCCTGACTCTTTCTTGCTGCTCTTCCTGTTTGCGGAAAGCTGGCAGACTACAAAATTGGGATTTGTGCGATGAGCCAAAGATCACACTCCCCAAAACAGACCGCACTGGTGCACATTTTATTATTACTTATTGACTGGAACATGAACAAACACACCGAACGTAAATCATCTGTCTACAGTTTTTTTTTTTTTTTTTCCAGCTTTTGTGGCCTTTATTTGACAGTAGTGGGTTTACCCCTGCACCACCATCGTGCCCTCTGCCTTCAATATCTAATCTAATCTATTATCTTTCAAAGACAGACATAGTGACAGAGAGGGACAGAGGTGGCTGATCGAGTTCCAGATGTGCCCAACTCTCTCCTGGACATCCCAGGACTCTTATGGAGAGGGGAAGAATTGTAATATTTTTCTCTTTATCTGATCAATGAATGGCATAAAAAACAACAACTAATAAAACACCAACTAATAAAAATGGCTTTTGTGTTGAGGCCTACATTTCTCACTATCTAATGTGTTTGAAGTTTGAAATAAAAACATTGGGGAATTCCAGGAGGACTGACTTGTTTTTGGAGCCAACCTGAGGGGACGGTTCAAGAAAAACCTTTTTTGGCACTTCCAAATTGGCTTTATTTTTCAGCAAGGGACAGTTGTCCTGTGGGTAATCTTAGCTGCTCCGACTCATTTGGGTGGTCCCACAAGCAACAGGAGTCGCATTACTATAAGTCCCGACATGTTTACAGCCACATAAATGTCTTGGACTGTAGATTTTTATTTTACTCATAAATAAATGCTTAGGGCAAAATGGAGTGTTCAGATTACGGGGTTCCCTGTAGTAATGAAGTTACTGCTGATATTCTGGTAGCAAGATGTAAATGTTTGCATAGCATCTGTACCAAACAGGACTTTTAGTAGAAAAATAATGCATAGAGATGTTCAGTAGAGCTGTTGTACTGCAGAAACAAACTGTGTTGCCCGACTCATTAATATGTAGTAATTTTACAAAATCCCTAATTTATTCGCCGTTAATTTTTGTGATTATAGTTCGTTATTTAATGCAGACTGTGTTACTTGTTTTCACATGGCCTTGACTTGATTAGTTCAAAGTCTTATTAATTTAGATACTTTGGCAAGAAGCCATTATCAAGAGAAATTCTTTGTCATTGCCTTTACATTTATTGCCACCTGTGATTTCCTTGCAGCTTCATCTTCCTTTTAGCGTGTGTTGCTTGTAAATTACTTGATTGTAAATTACTGGCAACTGTTTCAATTGGCTCAGTGATTCGTGTTCAGTGCAGCTGAGGCAGACGCTGCACATCATTTGTAATCACACTTAGCGTGGATCAGACAGGAAATTATGCAAAATATAGAATTAAATCCAGATGCTGCTCCATGTCCCACTGGAGAGTGGAGGAACCAGAGGACATCCTTCAGCATAAAACAACCGGAGCCACAGAAGCAAAGCCGTCGAGGCTTCAGATTCTTCACTGGATTTTCTTCTCAATTAAGAGAAAACTAATCTCTTAGTTGTAAGAGATTGAGTAATCTCAATCTCTTACAATCCAGGGTCAAACTGGATGGGGAACCGTGAAGACAACTTTTGCAATATTTTAAAATAAAAAGCTCAATATGGGGCTGCACAGTGGCCCAGTTGGGAGAGCTGTTGCCTTGCAGCAAGAAGGTTCTGGGTTCAATTCCCAGCCCTGGTCTTTCTGCATGGAGTTTGCATGTTCTCCCTGTGCATGTGTGGGTTTTCTCTGGGTACTCTGGTTTCCTCCCACAGTCCAAAAACATGACTGTCAGGTCAATTGGTTTCTCTAAATTGTCCCTAGGTGTGTTGTGTGTCTCTGTCCAGGTGACCCCACCTCTCACCCAGAACATTAGCTGGAGATGGGCACCAGCACCCTCCCAACCCCACCAAGGGACAAGGGTGCAAAGAAAATGGATGGATAGCTCAATATGCTCATTAACTGTGCCTGACAAGAGAGCACAGACTACATATCTCACTAAACCAACTACAGCAAAGAAATCAGACTCTGAGGGAAAATATAGCAATTTTGAAATGTAAACTGTTTGTATTGTACCCATTTTGTGATTTGCCAAAAAGATTTAAAGTTAAAGACGAGACGACAAAAGAAGAAAGTAAACATGGATGAATATTGGCTCAGAGGTGTCCAAACCTCTTCTCTCATTAGAAGTTGGCTCCATATGTTTGCATTAATTGGCTTATTAAATAAAAACACATTTGAATGGACTGAGGTCAGGCGTACATTGAAACACTATTGTGCCAACTGGTGAATTGAAGGTAAAATCTGGAAAAATGATCTTAAAGGATGTTCTCACCTTGACATTTGGCTACTTTGCAAAGAATAGTAAGAGAAAGAATAGTAAATAAGTTCTTTATTTGTAGAGCTGGTACCACAAAAGAGTTGCAGATGGAGTTGCAGACAGATAGTTTTAACAATCTAAAGGACTGAGTATTAACGCACATCATATTTCACTTTATCCGTTGTGAAATTTTTTTAAAGCAACATTTTTTTTTCTTTTACTTCTTAATGATCCACTACTTTTATTTAAATCACATAAAAATCCTAATTAACCACATTAATGCTTGTGGTTGTGTTGCCTCACACTGTGGAAATATTTAGGAACATGAATAATTGTGCAATAAACTGTACATTTAAAGAGATATTCTATGTCGCTGACATATTCCAGACAAAAGAAACTCAATTTCGTTTCATGTTTTTGATATGTGAAATACCAATAAATTACTTGTAACTTGTTTTCCTGAGCAGATGATGATTGTGACATGAACGCCAAAAGGGACGTAAGATTATGGCCAAAATCATAAATGACGTCATACTGAGTAATACTTTTGCTTACAGTGTTTAATTGCTGAACATTTATCTATTTTATTCACTGAGTGTTCGACCTACATGTTTTACAACCGTATTCTCTGCTGTGTTTTAAGGGATTTTACAACTATGTGGCATGAAATTATGACATCCATACGTCTTACACCTTTCTTAAAACCCTGGATGCAAATTATGGTTTTATGGGTTTTTTTTATTCAGTCCTCTCTGTATGCAGTGGCACAGAGATACTCAGTTTCATTTTCTTGTATTTGGCATTTGTCTTTATTTGAAAAAAAAAAAAAGTCCTGTAAATGTAACCGTTTTCAAAAACAGACTGTTTTTTTTTGTTTGTTTTTAAGATGAAAATATGCTTTGGAACGACAGCGGCCAACTGGAGGTCTTGCAGCACATCTGTGAACACTATACGACGTTCATGCCCTGAGTGCAGAAGGAAAGCTTCTGGTTCCCTTCCAGGTGAAAGGAATGGTTCCGTTATTAGGAAATTGCGGAAAATGCTTAAGTGCTGCCTGTAATTCAAGTCTCCAGTGTGCTTAGCGTTTGCGTTCAGACTTAACAGCAAATGAGTACAACCATGCTCGTTTTGTCTGGAGTAGAAACAAAAATCCCAACCATTTGAAGCAGCCTCTGCTAACAGTTTTTCTTCCTTTCAGCTTCAAATGTCTTAAATTTTAAAGTTTTTTTTTGTTTGTTTTAATTAACTGTGGTATTTGTCCCCCTTTCACTTCCCTTTGACGCTGCCAGCTTTTATGAACCGAGCGTGAATTTGTTTTACAGTCATGCTTCGTAGTGAATGTTTGCATGAAGGTGGGTGAATAACATTGAGCAATCAAGGCTGCACTTTGGAAACCGTGGGAATGTGAGGGTACACATGTGTGGCTCTGGTTCTAGTCACCGCAGACAAACCCCGACACAGAGTTGCTGTTTTGTGCTCCAGGTACGGCGCGGCTGGTATAGCAGACTCACACTCAGCTCATATGCTAAATATCTCATTCATCTCTTTCTATTCCATTGAAGTGAACTGCAACAGACAATAACTCACTTCAGAAACTTCAAACTAACCCTAAACCAGAGGTCATGATTTGCTCTCTCCTAGTTTGCTGACAGCCACATTTCTCTGTTTGTAAGCAAGTTGAAGAGCAGCGTCAGTCAACTACTCATTATTCTGCAACATGTGTGGGAGGGAAAGTGTTTCATTCTGCTTCTTACAGCCGGAGGA